CCCCGGGTTCCGGAGGAAAAGGTTGGCAATTTTCCACAGTAAAGCGGCGGTGGATCACGCTCTCTCGTATGTTTGTTTGTTTGTTTGTTTGTTTGTTTGTTTGTTTGTTTGTTTGTTTGTTTGTTTGTTGTATGTATGTATGTATGTATGTATGTATGTATGTATGTATGTATGTATGTATGTATGTATGTATGTATGTATGTATGTATGTATGTATGTAGATATATCGATAGCTTCTTGGAGTTTTGATTGGGCGTCTAGGTAGTCTCTCTGCGGTCCTGGAGGCCTCTTGGAGCGGCTTGGGTGTCTCGGGGGAGCGGCCTGGGGCCTCCAGGGGGTCTCCTGGGAATATGTCGGGGAACTCTTGGGGTTCTTTTGGGCTTCCAAGCCGCCTCTTGAGGTATGCTTGGTAGCTTCGGGGGCCATCTTGTGGCCGTCTTGGAGGTGATCGATCAAAGAAGCGGGTGGTTTCGAGTAGCGTTGACCCCCCTCCCCCCCAGGAGGCCCAAATGGGCCCCCAAACTTTAGCACATTCAGTGAGTTTGGCCTTCTCGCCGCGGCCACTTTTGACACCTCGCGAAGCGCCCCGTCCAGATCCAGGGGGAGGGCGGAGGGGGAGGGGCTAACCCCCTCCCTGACGGGGAAGACGGGGGCTGGCAGAGGGAAGCGCTCGAAGCCACTCGCGCCCCAGAGGGCTGGTGGGATTCGTGCCCCCCTCGGCGGGCCCAGTCGGTCCGTGCCCTCCGCCTGCCGAGGCCCCCGCAGATCGATCCCCGAGGAGAGGGAGGAGGGGGAGTTGGGGGGGGAGGAGGAGGAGGAGGAGGAGGAGGAGGAGGAGGAGGAGGAGGAGGAGGAGGAGGGGGAGGTAGGGGGAGGCGGAGAGGAGGAGGAGGAGGAGGAGGAGGAGGAGGAGGAGGAGGTTGAGAGGTGGGAGGAGGAGGGGAGAATGTGGAGGAGGGAGGGGGAAGGGGGGAGGAGGACTGGTGTGATCCTCCGCCACCGCGCCATGCGGCCCGACCCGACGCACCCGCGCCTCGACGATTCCCAGCCGTGCCGCTTGTCGACCGAGGTCAAGTCGCATCCCAGGGGGCGGGTTCCTTCTTTCCCTCTCCCTCCTCCCCTCCCTCCTCTCCCCTCCGCCTCCCTCCTCCTCCCTTCCCTACCTCCCCTCCTCCTCCTCCCCTCCTCCACCCCTTCCTCCTCACACCTCCTCCTCCTCCTCCTCCTCCTCCTCTCTCCTCCTCCTCCTCCTCCTCCTCCTCCTCCTCCTCCTCCTCCTCCTCCTCCGCCCTCCTCCTCCTCCCCTCCTCCTTCCTCCTCCTCCTCCTCCTCCTCCTCCCCATCTCTCTCATCCCCCCTCCCCTACCTCGCTACCTTCTCCTCCTCCTCCCCTCCGTTCCCTCCTCCTCTTCTCCTCCTCCTCCTCCTCCTCCTCCCCTCCTCCTCCCCCTCCTCCTCATCCTCCTCCTCCTCCTCCTCCTCGTCCTCCTCCTCCTCCTCCTCCTGCCCCGGGGGTGGTGTGGGGGGGAATCCAGGCCCCTTCTCGCTCCTCGTCCTTTTCCTCCTTCTCCTGCCGTCCTGAGATCCCCCCCCCTGCCGTCCTGAGATCCGCCTCGTTCCTCCTGACGTCCTGCCGTCCTCGTTCCTCCTAGTCCGCATCCCCGTCCTGAGATCCGACGTCGCGAGAAAGAGAAGCATCGTCCAAAAGCTCGTCCGGAGCCCTTGTCCCCACCTCTCTGCGGCCTTCGTCGAGCCGACCAAGGCGTGAGGGTCTGGGGGCCAGAGCATCTGCAAAACCGTCAGTTTGGGACACGTCGGGCTGTGCTTTTTTAGCCTCTGGCGCGACACGATCGCTACCCTGGGCCAAACCCCTCCCCTCCCCCCCTCGGCCCTCCCCTCCCCCTCGGGTGACGGTGACGATCGTACGCACGGGAGGGGAGGTGGGCTGGACTTCCCCCCACTCGTTGGTTCTCGCACGCGTACTGTGGCCATCGCTGCGCGACCCCGCTCCGACGTGCCCCACCCCGCCTAAGGAATCAAAACAAGCGGTCTGAATTGCAACGCCCGCGATGCTGGGCGTGACCAGGAGGGTTGGTGGGGCGGGGGCCGGTCACGTCATGATTCGCGCCGGCGCCGTCTGAGAATGCCCAAGGATGGCTCATTCCAACACGGCGCCTGCGCGAATCATGACGTGACCAAGGGGGAGGGCGGGGCCAGTCCTAAGTCGGGCCTATTCCTCTACAGGAGGAATGTTCAAGAATGGTAAAATTGTCTGGGGACAATGTTTAAACAATGTTTGACTATTTTGTTTTTTTCGCTTTTTTGTTTAAAAAACCCAAAAACACATTATTTGACACCAAATCCGCCTGTGGGGGGACATGCCCGACGTAAGGCCAGTCACGGACGATATCGCGATCCGTTGATCTGGCACGTGGGCTCCAGGTCCACGTAGCGGGAAGGCGCCCCCCGAAAAGTGAGGCCGGTGCCGCCCGACTTGGCGACGGGGCGTGGCGATTCTGCACGGGCACGGGGCCCGCCGCTGATCCACGCGTCGCCAATACACGGTTTTTCGCGCTTGCTCGACAGATGAGCCCCAGGGTCTCGGGGTCCTCCTCGATGCTGATCTTGAGATTGTTGCTGATGATGGTACTGACGGTATCCACGCTGATGATGATGATGATGATGATGATGATGATGATGATGATGATGATGATGATGATGATGATGATGATGAGCATGATGATGATGATGATGATGATGAGGATGAGGATGAGGATGAGGATGAGGATGAGGATGAGGATGAGGATGAGGATGACGATGAGGATGAGGATGAGGATGATGATGAGGAGGATGATGATGAGGATTATGATAATGATGATGATGATATTCATGGTGCGGGGGATGATGCTATCATGAGGATGTTGATGTTGTTGACGATGATGATGGCGATGACGATGACGATGATGGTGGTGATACTGATGCTGCTGATGATGGTGATGCTGATGCTGATGCTGATGCTGATGCTGATGCTGATGCTGCTGCTGATGATGAGGATGATGTGGAGCAGGAGGAGGAAGAAGATGAGGAGGAGGAGGGTGAGGGCAGCGGGAGAGAAGGAAGGAGACGTGCGGCGCCGTCTCTTCAAAACGAGAGCCAACACCACGGGACGGTTGCGAGAAATTCCAATGTCAACGCCAGAATCTCAGGATGGAGGCGACCAGGGGGTTGCACTGGATGGGCCCACATAAACTTTGTCAAGAGGGGAAGCAAAGGACAACTCCACACGATTTGGTCCCAGTACCTCTCCATGGGGTTCATCTGGTGAAGCTTTTCGCCCCCGATCAGTTTTCACAGTCCCAGGGGCCGAAAACGGCCCCTGGACATAAGAAGGGCAAACATTGTTAGATTGCCCTCGGGCCGCCACAGCTGGATCCAGGGCTGATGGCTGCCGTGTACCGGCCTCACCGTGCCTCCCAGGAGACTTTGGGGCGGGGCGCACTGAAGCAGCACAGGACGACGGGGCCATGATGTCCTGGAAGAGTTCACGGCCCTGCCATGGCATCCCCCCCTCCTCTGTCACCACCGCCAGGACCTCGGGGCCCTCCTGGCCTCCGCCCCGCACGGACCCCCCTCGCTCGGCGCGCGGCGGCGGGCGCCGGGCGGCGGCGGCGGCCCGCCCGCGCCAGGGCCTGGCGTCCGGCAGCGGGCCGCTCGTCGCGGTGGGCCTCGGCGCGCTCGGGGGCGCCGCGTACTTCGGGACGCCGCGGGCTCCGATCGCCAGAGGAGGAGCAGTCTACTCCAGATTTCGTAATAAAAGGGAGGGGGTCTGGACCCTCCAAGACAAGCCATTTCAGACCTCCCCCGTGGGAGAACCCTCCAAAACATCGTCCCCAGACCCCCCCAGGCCCTCCAAGATAGCCTGGAAGAGACCCCCCCCGAAATGAGACCCCCCTCCCTTTATTACGAGCTTGGAGCCGGCTCGGGGTTTGAGGTCCTGTGGGGCTCTTGAGCTGTTCGTCGCGTGCGTGCGGGATCGGAGTACTGGTTCCGGCGAGCAGGCAGGGCAGACAGGTTCGAGGCGCTGGTTTTGGGGACGTTTGCCGGGTCGTTCTCTTCCTCTGGGGGGCCTTTTCCGGGACTGATGAGTGTGAATAAGTGGCCTGAAGTGAATAAGTTGCCCGGCGTTAACATGGGGATCCGAGGGCAGATTTTGATATGGTTTGGCTTCATCGCATCTCCTGACCGTTTTTGGGGGTCCCAACCAGTTCGGACCCCCCGCGGCCTACAAGATGCAGGGGCCTTTTGCACTCCGATTCGATTCGATCCGAGTTCGATGGATTTCGATTCCGAGTCTATTCGACTCCCTGCCGATTTCCGCCGATTCGATTCTGGATCATCCTGCAGATGGTTTCAGAGTGGATCGGGTGGGACGATCGCTCAGCATCGCCGATACATCGGCGACGCGGCTCGATGGGGGGCCAGATTTTATCCACCTCAGGGCGGATGCATCGCCGATGCATCGGCGATGCGGCGCGATTTCTCGACACATTGTCCTCGGATTCCATTTGGGAGGCCTGAACAAGAGGGACTGATGATGCCAGTCCGACATACCAGTGGCAACGCACTGGGCGAATGAGCTGCGACGAGCACCGCGAGGATGACCCGACCGCGCGCTCATCGCAGATCTCGTCTGACTCGAGCACCATCGAGAGACCGTTCTATGCCATCAGTGGCCGGCCAGCCTCTCGGTCAATTGCGTGACTGGGCTTCCCTGCCTTGCAGGAGATTGGCGCTGCGCGGATAACGATCGGGGGAGCGTAAGACCCAGGTTTGCCAGGACTCGGGTTCGCCATCGTTTTTTGACGACCGCGACTCGGATTTTGACGAGTAGGAGTTTCGTGGGATGTCTGCAGCGGGAGGCCTCGTCAAAATGCAGGCTCGGCCTCGTCATTTTTTTGACGACCTCGTCGGGGATTTCCGAGTCCCTTGTACCCGGGTCTTACGCCCCCCCTGAAACGACATGACGCTTCCATCGCGAAGCTCAGGCGGACGCGCCGCGCCAGGCTCTCGACAGGTGCATGCACGGGTGCCTGACTTTGACACCTCCGCGCCGCCTGCGCAGCGTGGCGTCGGCGCGACAGCGCGCCACTGCAGTGGTCAGCGCAGAATGACCCGCCACGCCCCCTTACTCAAACGACGCGAAGATCGGGACAACATCGGATCGGGATAATTCGAAATCTCTGAGAATCGGCGGGCTTGGAGGATGTATTGGGCGCCGCGGCCGCTCCAGAGCGTTCCGGAACGCTCTGAGAGCGCTCCGGAACGCTCTGGAGCGATTTATCCCGATCTTAGCCCTGTTTTACTTACAGTTCAGCCGGCATGCGCCGCGGTGGCCTGGCACGTCGGCCACGCCGTGCTGCAGACAACGGGGTTGCTACGAACAGCCGAGATTTGCACCTACGACCCAGCGCCGCTGCTGGCCGTCTCCAGACTGCACGCGTCGCCCCGTCGCCGCGGACCAATGAACAGCTGTGATTGGTACGGTTTAGCAACCAGAGGCGCACTTCGGCCAACAGCTGGATGTGCTGCACTTGCGCACAGACGGCGCAGGGCGCGCGAGTGCTCTCCAGCTACGCAGCCGCGCAAGCGACGCAACGGCCAGCCACACCCGCGGGCACCCCATGCACAAAAGAGTGCCGAAGGCGGGCGGTCACGGCAGCAGCGTGCCGGAAACAGAGCCAGTGAGCGAACCTGTCTTGAAGGCGCGCTCGGCGCTGCGGTTCGATCGCGCGCTGGGCACGATTTGCGCTGGGCCCCCACGAGCAAACGCTCCCGGCTGCGGGGCATCATCAGTCGGTCGCTTTGGCCAAAAGGGTTGTCCTTGGGCTCCTGGTGGATGGGAGTCGTCATGAGCCACAACCTTGGCAAGGGTCAGCGCAGCTTATCTGGCGTACGAGCTGACCACGTGCGAGCCAGCAAGGCTCCCAGGGTCCACGGGACCCCGTTCGGGCTGAGGCTCCGGGGCCATGGGTGAGGTGTGCCGGGCGTCCACGGCAGCACGCACGCGGTGAATGTTCTGGCATTTCATTGCTGGTGGCCCCCTGTAGCCTACATTTAAGCCGGGCCTGTCCCTCTACAGGGGGAATATTCAAAAATAATCAAATATAATATGGGGATATTTTTTGTATGTTTTTGGCACTTCGTCCCAAATCGGCCTGTATGGAGACACCCCCGACTTAACCCTACATGTTGCGAAGGGACATTTCCATTGCTCGGAAGCCCCGGCTCGAATAGGGGGGATCCGTTGCCGTATTGTTCACAGCTGGCCAGTGTATTTGATACTGTAGTGGGAGGAGAAGGATGAACGCTCTGCTTTTTTCCTTGGTACCGTTGCCGCCATGTCTCTCACCTTGCACGACTTCCCCCGCAATTCTATTGTGTCCCCCTCCTCCATTCGTCCACCTCTTCGACATCGTTTTCCTCCTCGCCAGAGTTTTGCTCTTTATGTCGTCGTTCTCTGCCTCGCCCTCCCCCGTTCCTCTCCTTTCCATCCCCCCCGTTGCTTCGGGCCCGGAAGTCCGATCAAAATGGGACCCCGCGCCCTTCCCGCTGCCCAATTCGGCTCGCTTTTCCTGCCAGGTTGGGTTTTCGATGGCCCCTTCGGGGGCGACGTTCCCCGCGCGATTTCTTCGAAAAGGGTTTTGATTACACGTGCGTCGGCTTCGAACAACTGCGTGTTAAGCGCCTTTTTGCGCAACAGTTTGCTACTTCGTCACCAGTCAAACGCTTATGGGGTCGTCCGACCAGCGCGACATCGAGTGAAGTTGTTCTCTCCTTTTTTTCCTCTTCCTCCTCTTCCCCCTCCTCCCCCTTCTCCTCCTCTTCCTGTCCCTCACCTCCTCATCCTCCTCCTTCCCCTCCCCCTCCTCCGTCCTCCTCCTCCGCCTCCTCCTCGTCCTCTTCCTCCACCTCACCTGCTCTGCTCGTCAGGAGGAATACTTTCTACACGGTGGAGGCCGGCCACATGGCCGTCAAGTACAGCCGTCTGTCCGGGATCGGCCAGCAGACCTTCCAAGAGGGGCTTCATTTCATGATCCCGTGGTTCGAGAGGCAGGGAGAGGAGGAGGAGAGGAAGGCAGTCGTGGCACTGATGCGGTTGTCCAGCTTTTCCGTGTGTTCCCGCGGGTTCTGCGGCCTCCGGGCGTTCTGAGGCAATTTTTCAAGACTCTTCGGCCCGGCACCGTTTGAAAAAGCGGCAGAGGAGAAGGGGGGGATCTTCGTTTTTTTGTATATCGCATTCTGACCGTTTCCAGCGGCCGGGGCCATGTTTAGTATACACGCTTCCGGGGAGGGCATCTTGTATCTTTCCGGGTAAAGTCAGCGTGAGGAGGCTGGACGGTCATTCATTGACCCAAGGGTGTGTGACTGAAGTGGGACTCCGCAGTGCGGATTCTGCTTGTTGTTGCGTTGTCGTCGTCGTCCTGGCCCTTCCCGCTACCCACCCCGCGACGCACTCCGCGACCCTTCCGCAACCGACACGCGACCAACACCGCACCCGCCCCCTCACTCTTATCCGCAACTGCGGGGTGCTACGTATATGCGTATGTAAATCCAATATTAGTGTTACGCTGGAGGGGATACCATGGACGTAAATCTGTCAGAGTTTGGACAACAAGCGGCCGCTCCGGACCGAGACCGCCCCAGTTGTATAACCGGGTCATCCACAACGGCCCGCGGAAGCCGAGCTTGCTGGCTAGAAGGCCACCGAGATCCCCCCCAGTTGCAGCGCCTCGAAAAATCTAGGCCTCCTAGATGGGGTCGGAGGATCGCGCCGCATCGCCGCTACATCTCCGATGCGGGTCGGTGTGGAGCCCCATTTTCTCCACGCCGACGGCGCCGATGCATCGCAAACTTCGCCGATGCATCGACAATGCATCGGCGATGCATCGCCGATGCGGCGCGATTCTCCGACCCGATCTACTCGGACCCCATTTAGGAGGCCTCCAGACTTGCGGCGCGTCGAAAACATCGATCGGCCGCGAGCAAGTGGGAAATGAGAAGGAGAAGGCCTTCTCAGAAGGCGGCGTGGCTCGTCAGAGGCCCTCGCGCCTTCTGAGATGTCGTCTGTGTTCCTGGGGAAGGCTTAGACCACTTCGCAGAAGGCCGGGAGACTTCTAAGCCTTCTGAGAAGGCCAGCCCTTTCTCACTTCCCCCCAGGTCCCGCAGCCGAATCGAGGCGGCAGGTTTTTTTCCATGTTTGGCCTCTGGGGGCCAGTCTCTTCGGCAGGACCGTCAGGGGTGTATGCGTTAACCCCTCGTCGCCCACTTATCGCCAATAAGGGCCTGGTAGCCCACCTACCCAGGATTGTGCGGTTTTGCGATCGAGAGCACATCGCCGATCAATCGGCGGTGCATCGGCGAGTCCATGTCGATATTCCCCTAAGCCAGTCTTACGTCCTAGCGTTGCCCCTGAAGGCCAAGAATTGTGACGAAGGCCGGCAGCAGTTCCTGTCCATTTTGAGCTGGGCTCGCTGTCGATGTCGTGTCGGGCGTAGTCCGTTTGAGACCATCGTGTCGTTTGGCCAATGGGGGTCGTGGTCTGCTGTAGACGATCTTTGCTATTGGGCATGTAACCCCGTGCCCTGGATAACAAAGCATCCAACCCTTCCACGTGAGAGTTGACGACCAACACAGATTTTCTTGGGGGAACGGGGAGGCGAGTTCGAACTTATAAAGCCAGGGAAAGTTCCAACCGAGATTTCGCTGGTCTGATGTTGAGTATCGTACTGCACATCCTACATCATTGTATCTCTACTATGCAATAACAACAACTACTACTACTACTACTACTACTACTACTACTACTACTACGACTACTACAACTACTACTACTACTACTACCACCACTACTACTACTGTAAGTGCGACTACTGCCACTACTGGTCCTACACCTACTACTACTACTACTGCAACTAAGACTGCTAGTCGTACGACCACCACGACTACTATTACCACAATCGGTACTAAATAGTACGACAATCACGATAAGTTTCACCAATACTATTTTATGACGATAAGCACGGCTACTCCAAGTAGTATTCATACCACTACTGCTACTATTTCTACAGCTACTACTTTTACGACTATTATTGCCACTACACGGCCTACGATTACATTGACCACTACTACTACGACTACTATTACTACTAGTTCTACCACTTACTACTACTACTACTGCTACGACTACGACTACGACTACAACTATTGTCCTACTACTACTACTACTACTTCTTCTACTACTACTACTACTACTACTGCTACTACTACTACTACTACTACTACTAGCAGTACTACTGCGACTACGACTACTGTAACTACACTACGGCGACGACTACACGACGTCAGCGACGACTACCACCACTACGACTTCCACTACGACTGCGATTTTTACTACGACTACGTCTCTTACAATTATTACGGCTACTGTAGTAACAGGTGACCACATTTTTTTGGAATATTACGGTTGCGACTACTACTATTACTACGATTGCCATTTCTATTATTACTGTTGCTAACACTACTACGACGATGAGCGCGACCACTACGACTACTACTTCGACTACTAGTACGACCATTACTACTGCTACCGCTACGACTACCTTTACTATTCCCACTGCCACTACTATTACTATACTACTACTACTACTACTACTACTACTACTACTACTACTACTACTACTACTACGCCTAGAAGTAGTAGCATTATTACTAGTACTACTTCTACGCGTGCGACTGTTACGATTATTTCTATTCCTATTATTTGTCATTGTTATTCGTTTCAGTATGAATAATACTATTATTACTACTACTACTACTACTACTACTACTACTGCTACTACTACTACTACTACTACTACTACTACTAATACTACTACTAGGATTATTATTACTACTACGACTACTACGATTGCCAGTGTCACTTCTACTACTAGAGCTACTACTACTACTACTACTACTACTACTACTAGTACTACGACTACTACAACTACTACTACTACTACCATAAATACGACTGCTGCTACTATCAGTATTATGTATAGTGCCATTACCGCTTCTGCTTCTACTACGACTGGTCCTACTACTAGTATTACTGCTATGCTACTATCACCATTACTACTACTACTACTACTACTACTACTACTACTACTACTACTACTACTACTAGTACTAGTACTAGTACTACTACTACTACGACTACTACGACTACTACTACTTCTACTACTACTACTACTACTACTACTACTACTACTACCATTACTATCACTACTACTACTACTACTACTACTACTACTACTACTACTACTACTACTACTACTACTACTACTACTACTACGACTACTGCTACTACTACGACGACGACGACGACGGCGACGGCGACGGCGACGACGACGACGACTACTACTTCTACTTTTACTACTAGTATGTTAAAGTCAGGATTGGCGCTGGCATATCCGTTGTCAAAAACCAGCCTCATTGGTTACAACCTCGTTTAACCTTGCTCGATCTCAGGCGTATCCAGCCTAACCTTGCTTAACTCGGGCTTACTGGTTTGTATTCGTTCTCACGAGGACCCACCAGGAGATGCTTTCTGACCACTCTACGACTCATTGAGACTGGATTGCCCCTTTTCCATCTCACGGGATCGTTGCCGTTCTTCCAAAGAGCAGTCTGAAGATGGCACGGTGTGTTCATCAGCTTGTTCGTCGCCTCAGCGTGTGCGTGCTTGCGTGCGTGCGCGTGTGTGTATGTGTGTGCGTACGTGCATGTGTGTGTGTGTGTGTTCATGCGTGCGTGTGTGTGTGTGTTGTGTGTTGTGTGTTGTGTGTTGTGTGTTGTGTGTTGTGTTGTGTGTGTGTGTGTGTTCGTGCGTGCGTGCGTGTGTGTGTGTGAGTGTGTGCGTGTGCGTGTGCGTGCGTGTGTGTGTGTGCCCCCGCGCCTCGTCCCCCCTCTGCATCCGCCTTCTCGCCTGCCTCCCTCCCTCTCTGCATTCGGGTTACAGTCGGGGCGCTGACGAAGGAACTCTTTTCGTTGGGGAGGGGCTCGGCGTTCCTCGATTGCTTCACAGTTTGCCTTAGTTGTCCCTGAAGTTTCCCATGGGGAATCGAAGTTTAGCTTACGGGTAGAAAGGGACCTCGTTCCTTATCTAGGGCTCCTTAGGTCAACGCCCCGACTGTAATTCGCGATGCCGTGTCCCGGTCTCGCCCCGACGCGCGTGCGGATCGCCTCCTGCCGCGCTGCGACGTAAAAAGTTGTTTCTTGTTGGTCACCAGGCTCTGTCTGCACAGCGGTCGACCATGCTCTGCTCTCACTGGGATCGGAAGTACTAGCAAGCTGCCTGATAGGAGGTTCTTCCAGTTTGCGCGCGTCCCGCCTTCCTTTTGCGCACCGCCGATTGGAGTCATTGGCGCGTCGGAGGACAGGTGTGTCTGCGTGCGTGTGATCGACTGTGGCTGACCAGCTGTTCTTCCAATGCTGCGGACGAGGGATCAAGTGTGCACGTGTGCGCGTGTCTGTGGAGAGAGGAGGGCGCTTGCGCTTGTGTGCGCGCGTGGGTGAAGCCGACCGCGCGGGATGACGCCTTCTAGCGCCAATGACGGGGTCCTTACCTCGGGTTGTCCATTGTGCTGTGTTCTGTTTGTCCACCAAACAGTGTCAGATCGGCGGCCCAAGCGCAGTGTACAGACGTGTGTCCACACCTGTCGCCCAGAGAGCCATTTTGGCCCTCCACCCACCGCCCCTCCCTTGCCTCCTCCGAAGTCGTTTACGTCGTTTGTCGTCCCCTCTCCACCTCCTCCTCCTGTCTTGAGCGAGGCCCAGCGTGCCCGCATCGAGACCAACCGTGCAGCTGCCAAGGCTCGGCGCGAGGAGCGCGCCAGGCAAGAGCATGCGCGCAGAGCTCCTTGGAGCGCAGGAGGCACTCTCAGAGGCGCCTTTTTCGGGGATCCCACTGGGGCTCGGGATCCCGATGTCTTCACCTTTGGGGGCTAATCCGGTGGTGGCGTAGGTGGTGGATCCTCGTGAGGTCCTTTGCGCCGCCCACCGGCTAGCCA